AGAGAAAATAAACAGTTTTATACTCTCAAATGTTCTATCACACATGATTCACTATAGCATTCTAAGAGGATGGGGCTCACCTTTGAATCAAGAGCTCAGATCATTAGCCTGCATGGACAAACCCTGGAGCTTTATTCCACTTCTGGAATCCATAACTTCTTCCATTTAAAGTCATAATATTGTTCCATATTTAAGCAGGAACATCACAGCATTAGCCACACTGCCTAACGAGACGGTTGTCATCTCCAGTTTAGTTCTGCTCTTTACACACAAGTTGGTTACTGAAAGTTGTGCTGGGCCTGTGTGTCTTCTCATGAACAATGATGTAAGTCAGGAATATCACCATTGAAAATTTCAAGTTAACAGAATCAGGCCCTCTGCCTATAAACTTCATCCCCAAAGAGCAAGGTCTCTCATATATTTCATTCCCCTCACAATATAATACCTATTTGTATTTCATAGCCTTCTCTACTTCTGTTTTCTGCAGGAGTGAAATATAAAAACAATACAAAATGAACTCAAAACTCCAAAGGGTGATTATGTAAAGACAGCAGTTTCCTATCCAGCAGATCTGTTGCCTGTGTGCTTACTTTAGAAAGCAATGTGTGTGTGTGTATATTATATATATATATACACACACACACACACACACACACACACACCCACCCCACCCCTATTAGTTCAGCAGCGGCAACAAACTCATGCATCGACAGAAGGGACAGCAGAACGTACAACCAAGGACTAAAATCCACACTCCTTTAAACCTTTTCAATTCATTTGAAGGTAACTGAGTTCCTCTTAAGAACAGAATCTTCATTACTGATGATCATCTATGAACAAGTTAGAGTCGGATTGATTTTCAGATCCCAGCTGAGTTTGCAGAACTGGCAGTTACGGAAGTCTTTTTTTTATTATTTCTAAGTAAACAGATATCATGTGGACAAATTGAGACAATCTTGTAAGGCCACACTTTGTTGTTACAGTTGTAGTATAACTGTACTTCAGAACAAATCCTGATCCCACCTCTGTATACAGAGAGGGCACACAGCAGCAAAACTAGAATAGTTCTACACAAGGGAAAAAGCAGGATTTGGGTAATACAAACATACAAATGCCCTGCATGAAACCTACTAGATCCTAAAAGATCTAGTAGAACTAGATCCTAAAAGATCTACTTCATTTCTAAGTGGATGAAGCAAGGAGCTTTCTTGCTTCAATGACTACTTTAGTCATATTTAAATGCTTATATCTGCAATTCTCGAAGGAGAACTATTAAGTGTCTTTATCTATACTATTCAGTTCTATATAATGTACTTTTTAACTTTATGCAGAAGAGATGCAAGACAAGACATTTAACTTTTCAACAGTAATAAAAAAAATTTCCAATTAATAATTCACTGGGAGGTTGTATATACTACATTAAAAATACCTTATTAACTACAAATGCTAAAGCATACATACAGAAAGAGCAGGAAAAGCCTGTTCATCTCTTTGCTGAATCTCATAAAGTGAACGAGATTCTTCTATGGCCTGCTTCTCTCTGCGTTCCTCTGGAGATAGGCCAAAGTAGTTACAATCTCTGCTAATGTAGTCCACATCTTCAGCTCTCTCACGGTCTGGTTTTCTGTAAGAGAAGATAACCAATAATTGTCCAAAAAAACCCAGTCAAATGGATACCAAGTGTGAGAGTTCTGCTGCCCCAAAACTACAATTAGGGAAAAACGGAGAGAATATCACATACTGACTAGCTATTCGTGTCCCATCATGCCTATAATAAAAAATATGGGCACTGTAAATATCAGGATTAAGAGAAAAAAAAAAAAAACCTGTGTTCCATCAATAACGTATTTTATTTTAATACTACTTGGGAAGAAACAAACAAAAGTTTAAATTATAGGAAAAAATGCACATAATCTAGTGTTCACTCTTTGTTTAGTTATTTCACATGAGATTATACATCCTAGCATACAGCAAGCAGCCATTCACGTGCAATACATGCATTTTAATAAAAGAATGCACAAAATAAACATGTTTATCCTCTTGGTTCTATTACATTTATTTTAACATAAGAACGGCCATTTTGGGTAAGACCAACGGTCCATCTAGCTCAGTATCCTGTCTGCCGATAGCGGCAAATACCAGATGCCCAGAGGAAGGGAACACAACAGGTAATCCTCACGTGATCCCTCCCCTGTCACTAATTTCCACACAAACAGAGACTAGGAACACCATTCCTACCCCTCCTGTCTAAGAGATTCATGAAGGTTAGGTCCATCAATGGCTATCTAGCTCTTTTTTGAGCCCTGTTAAAGTCCTAGCCTTCACCACATCCTCTGGCGAGGCGTTCCACAGGTTGACTATGCGCCGAGTGAAGAAAAACTTCCTTTTGTTTGTTTTAAACCTGCTGCCTATAATTTCATTTGGTGACCCCCTAGTTCTTACTTATTCCCAAAATGTAATAACTTTTCCTTATTCACTTTTTCCACACCAGTCATGATTATAAAGACCTCTATCATATCCCCCCCCCCAGTCTCTCTCCTCTTTTCTAAGCTGAAAAGTCCAAGTCTCTCTCCTCTCTCTTCATATGGAATCCGTTCCTAACCCCTCCTCATTTTTGTTGCCCTTTTCTGAACCTTTTCCAATGCCAATGTACTTTTTTAGATGAGGCTACCACATCTGTACGCAGTATTCAAGATGTGGGCGTACCATGGTTTTATATAGCGGCAATAAGATATTTTCTGATTTACATACAGATTCAACTTAAGAAACCCAGGCGTCCCCAAGTCAGCTACTGCTGAAACTGATCAGCGGCTGATTCCAGGAAGCCTGGGGCAGAGCAAC